TGCCCCGCTGCTGCGGTCCCCGGAAGCCGACCGCCAGCCCTGCCCTGAGCGGCTCCCCTGCTCTCACCTTGCAGAGCTGCTGCCCAACGCGGTGCTGAGCGGGGTCCTGCAGGGCCTCTATGGGTGCCCCTGGCCCAAGGCAGCTCCCCAGGGCCACGCCGGGCCCCAGCCGGGCTCCTGAGCACCACGTGGTCCCTGCTGCCGTCACCCCGGCCCTTGCTGCACGGCCCATGGAGAAGCTCCTGGAGCAGAGAGGCTGCAGCGCAGGAAGCGTCACAGCACCAGGACACGCACAGCTGGGAAGCTCGAGAGCAGCAGGGGCTGCTCTGGGCAAAGCAAAACAGGTGAAACAAGCGGGGTCCTGCAGGGCCTCTATGGATGCCCCTGGCCCAAGGCAGCTCCCCAGGGCCACGCCGGGCCCCAGCCGGGCTCCTGAGCACCCCGTGGACCCCGCTGCCGTCACCCCGGCCCTTGCTGCACGGCCCATGGAGAAGCTCCTGGAGCAGAGCGGCTGCAGCGCAGGAAGCGTCACAGCACCAGGACACGCACAGCTGGGAAGCTCGAGAGCAGCAGGGGCGGCTCTGGGCCATGAAAACAGGGTGCAAGAGGCCCAGGGGCACCACTGGAGCCACTGCTGCTCACCGGCTGCCACTGCCCTCCCTGCTCGAACCCAGCCCTGCCACCCTCGCACACCTGGTGTTAGCACAGGGCTCCTGCCCACTGCCCTCCTGTTTCAGGTTCGGACTCTGACCCGCGCTGGGAAACCCCTCCGTGTGTTGCAGCTGCTGGCACACGGGGGACTGTGCAATAATTCACTCAGGGGTGGCAGGAGCCTCCCTGTCCTGCGCAGCCCCAGCTCTGCTCTCCCGCTACCGAAATGTGAAGGAAGGGGGAGCTCCTGGGGACACTACGGGGTGCAGATACCCCTCAAAGGCTCTGGCCTGATGGGCACCTGATGGGTGCCTGAACCAAGAAGCCATCCATACCCCCCAAAGCCATCCATACCCCCCAAAGCAAGCAAGTCTCTCTCTAAAAAAAACAAAAACCACCTTGGTCACATTTATTGGCGCGTGTGCTTCTTACAAAAGTGATGGAAGAGGAGCCCGTGCCCCCAGCTGGAATGTGGGTGAGGGGGTGGCGCGGGCAGCGGGCGCGCAGGGGCTGCTCCGG